GGCTAGCTACTTTCCAGAAGGATCTTACCCACAAAACACTACAGTGAGTGAGTTAAAATTCTTGCAGCAGAATATTTAAAATCAAATATCAAGGAAATTCAGTGCTTTAAAGTTGAGGATGCTAATTCTGGTCTTAGAAATTGGCATGAATACAGCTGAAGCCCTATGAATTTGAAAATATGTAATATTCCTATATGACACTTTCTTAGTCCTTCCTTTCCTCAAACTTAGAGTAAAAAATGACAAAACAAAATGTTTTTTGGTTAAAATGTAAAATTGCATGCTTAACAATTCAGCATGGGGCAGACTCTGTATCTCTAGTATTAAGTGATCTCCCCTCATCTGCTTCTCACTTTTTTTTTTTCCTTCATCCTTCCTAACCTCTGTTTCATGCGTTCAACCATGGTATCCTTCCCAGCTGCCTTGAACCATTTGCTAGAGACTGAGAGAACTGGCCTTGGTTTTTGTGCCATCTGCCTATCAGATACCTTTTTTTTCCCTTTCAACATGCAGCAGTGTGTGTGGATGGTCAAGTGGATAATTATCTAGCCCTGAGAGAGCTGGGTTTTACTTCTTCCATGGGCTTCCTGTATGACATCAGACTAGTTCCAAAGATTGTTTAAGGCACCCAAAGAGGCATCTAGTGGGATTTACAAAGTACATAGCCTTCTAAATGCTTTTGAAAGTCTCTGTAGGTGCTTAAATACCTTTGAAAAAATCTGGCCTGTAGTCTCTGGGCCCCATCTGTACTAGGGATGTTCAAAAGCAGGAAACTGCATAACTGCTGAAAATCTCCACAGTTATATGGTTACACAAACCTGCAGTGTGGGGTGGCAGCCGGCTCTCGGGGAACCAGTGTGGCTGGGAGCTAGCAGCACAGGGTGGCAGCCAGCTCCCCAGAAGGAGGGTGGGAGCCTGCATATAGCCATTAACAGTAAGTGATTAAATGGTGGTTATATCCATAATCTGTGATCTGGGGTGGGGGGCTGGGATGCAGGGAGGGGATAACAGCACTTCTCTGCCTCATCAAGGTGCTTTGTGGAGAAATAGGTTAGACCAGTGGTCACCAACCAGTAGATCGGGATCTACTAGTAGATCATGGAGCCTCTGACAGGTGATCCTGACTGGTTTGGCCTGGAAGTTATCAAGTGCTGGCACTTCAGTTATCCCTCCACCCACTGTCATGCTGCTCCTGCCCTCTGCCTTGGAGCTGCTCCCCCTCCAGGGGGCTGGCTTCCTGTGCAGAGTGTGGGAGGGGGAAGAGGGGGGTGCTGATGTCAGAGTGTTCCTCCTCCCCTCACTTCTGTACTCTATCTCCTCACAGAGAAAAGAGGATGGAGGCAGCCTAACCTGTCATGGCTGGAGTAATTATCCCTGTGGTAATTGCTGCTCCAGGAAGTGGCTGGCATGTCCCTGCAGCCCCTGAGAAAGGCAGAGCAGGGGGTCTCCACATGCTGTCCTTGCTTGCAGACACTATTCCTACAACTCCCATTGATCAATAACTGGAAACCATGGCAAGCAGAAGCTCTGGACTCAGTGCCTGTAGATGAGGGGCAGCACATGGTGCCAGGGAGCCATTGCTGTACATGTCAGCTGCTTTGAGTGGTGCAGGGCCAAGGCAGGAGTAAGCCTGCCTTAATTCCACTGCTCCACCACCTGGAAGCGGTCTCAGTTAAACAGTGCCGAGCCAGAGCCTGCATCCTGAACCTCTGTCCCAGCCCTGAATCTCCTCCTACACCCAATCTCCTGCTCCAGACATGAGTCCCCTTGCACCCAAACTCCTTTCAAGTGCTTGCACCCTGAAACTCCTTCTGGATCCCAATCCCCTGCCCTGGGCCAAGCCTGGAGCCCCTCCCACACTCTGAACCCTTTGGCCCAAGACCAGAGCCTGCACCCCAACCTCCTTCCCCAGCCTAGTGAAAGTGAATGAGGTTCGGGGAAGAAGAGGGATGAAGTGAGCAGGGTGAGGCCTTGGAGCAGGAGTGGAGCAGAGGCAGGAACTCAGAGAAGGGGCAGGAAGGAAGCCGGGCAAGGGTATTTGGGTTTGTGGTAGATCTTACATTGCACTTAAATTGAAAAAGTGATTTTGTAGTTTAAAAGGTTGAAGACCACTGGGTTAGACATCATGAGGCACTTGGTAGGGATGTAAGCGACTAATCAACTAGTGTTTCTCAACCAGTGGTATGAGTACCTTCAGAGGTACTCGAGAGAAGTCTGGGGAGAATATCAACACAACTAAAGTCTGGAGAAAACTGAATTTTGGTTTTAAGTTTTACAGCACTTTATTATTTTTGTACTTTTTACACCCAAAACTTTTATTGCCCGCCCGGCTACGATTAAGTTATTTAAACAAATGTGTTGCAATGGTAGAAAAAAAAATGTGTGTCTGAAAACTGTAGATAGTGAGGGTACTTATCATTTTTTTTTAAGGGGGTACTTTATTAAAAAAAAAAAAGGTTGAGAAACACTGGACTAGTTGACTAGTAACCTCCCCCCCCCCCCCCCAATCAGAAAGAGGCAGCAAGGAGGGGAATATGAGAGGATGCTGGGGGAGTTGGCTTGAGAGTCCCCTGCTGGCCCCAGGCTCCCTGCAGTGTTTCAGTCTTTGAAATGCACAAGAGCCCCTGCTGGGACTCTTGTACATTTCAAAGGCGGCACACCACCTGCCACTTCAGCCTTTGAAATGAAGCAACAGCCAGGTGGGCTCTTGCTACATTGCAAAACGGAAGCATCCTTATCGACTAATCAAATAGTCGATGGAAATTCCATCAGCTATTTGATTAGTGAATTAGTTTAATTTTAATATCGCTTGTGCTGGGATTCTCTGATGATAGGGCCACAAGTACCACAAATAGAGTGGGAACTTCTCTGTACCACTGCACTCCCTTCCCTTAGTATTGGCAGCATCTTTTCTCCTACACTCCTCACATCTTCCTCTTCTCTGAGCCAAAGTTACATTCAGAAGGCTTGGCTGTATTTCTTAGGAGTTCTCTTCAACACCATTGACTCCCTGCAGAAGTATTCCTGTTTTACAGACTCACTAAGTATGTCCAGATCCATAATTTACTAGCCTTTTCTTAATCAGCCTGCCTCTGCTTGTAAACAAAATACTGACTCCCTGCCCCAGGGGCACAAGCTTTGAGCAGCACCTCTCTCCAGAACTCACATTTCACACTCATTCTGTACAGCAGTTGAGATCCACTGGGGAGTCCACCTCTTGTACAAAAGTAGGAAGGAAACAGGAATCCCTCCTTCTTCCAATGGCATCTCAGGGAGAGGTAGTATCTTCTATCTTCTTTGTTGGTGAGAGAGACAAGCTTTTGAGCTACACAGAGCTCTTCGGGAACTCAAAAGCTTGTCCATTTCAATAACAAAAGTTGGTGCAATAAAAGACATTACCTTATCTATTTTGTTTCTCTAATATCCTGGGACCAGTATGGCTTCAGCAGCACTGCAAAGAGCTTTAGGATATAGTTTGTATAAAAGACATACATAATAATTGTATTTCTTTAAGAAACACATCTGACCTTGTGTAAGAATACTTATTTCAAAAAAGTGACTGCTTGAAACATACAAAGAACTATTTAAACATAAGTTGATCTACCATAATTTCATGTAGTAAATTTTAACCGTACATCTAAATATTTTGATTTGCTTTCAGGTGGGATGACGATGTTGTCTTCAAGAATTGTGCCAAGGGGATAGATGAAACGAAAAAGGACAAAAGATTTGTAAATGATACTCTGAGATCTGAATTTCACAAAAAGTTCATGGAAAAATACATCAAGTAGTACAGTTTTATGTGCTCCATTGCTGAAAGACTCAAAGGGTCAAGATGACTTCCCTTCTGTGGTGTACCCCTTTTTTCTCCTCGCGCCTCCCGCCCCCCAATAATGGCCAAAAATTGTCTCCTACCATGAATATCCAAATGATTTTCCAAGGTCATTTTAATTGTCATCCTGTATCTGGAGTGTTTTATCTTTTTCAGCACCTTTTTTTTTGTTTTAACTAAACCTGTTTGTCTTTAATTCATTGGATATGCATTTACTTTTAATGGCCTTCATGTAAATGTCGAAAGAGACTGGTTTGCAATAAATACTTTAATTGCCTTTTTATGCATCAAATTTAACTAGCTTCCTTTCTGACTGACTAGTTGAAAGCTAATATGAATGCCCCATCTGACTTCTTAAATATTGAGTGTTTCTCTGGTGTATCCGATAAGCATGTGATCTTATTGGATATCTCCAGGCTGTTAGCAATTCTGCTATATAATAGGCTCTACCTAATTCACTGCCTTGCCACAAGGAGCATCCAGCAGGTGCATGGCACAGTGATTTTCTGTCTCCAGCCAGGATTTCCATTCTGTGTAGTCTCTGAGTGCCTGCTCATGTCCATTCCAAGATAGGTGTGAGTGCTCACCACATATGCTGGTGCTGGAAGTTTTTGCTCTCAATGGTATCTGTAGAGGACTGGCTCTGGTGTTCTCTGGAGTGACATGCATATGTGCCAATATAAGGGCATGGCCAGGCCTCACCCTGTTCTTCCTTACTGCCAATATTGGTGCTGGAACGCTCCCCTCACGCTAGCAAGTAGCTCTCATTCAGTGGTTTTGTGAACTTTTTTCTTTTTAAATAGTTGAAGTTAGTAAATAGTTAAGAGTGCCTAATAGTTTAGTATACTGTAATGATGGTTACCAAGGGACTTAGCCCAGGGACAGGGCATACCCCAAAATCCTAGAAACAGTCATCTAGCAGATGCTGCTCCCAATGTTTGGAACCTTGTCAGTCACTGGAGTCACTATGCCAGATACCGGAGTGTCAAGACGGTCTCTGCATTCTCAGTCCCGGTCGCCAGAGCCTGCAAACCATCTTCTGAGCAGGTGGCATTGTTCCCTGGATTCTTACTTTGCATACATACATCACCGCTGGTTGCTGGATACACAAAATGGCTCACTGGGTCCCTGTTACCTCTCCTTGAATGATAGCCACGAGGGGCCTCCAGATACAGCAGGGAAGCTTGTGGTATGGTGATGCCAACATGGTAACCAGAGGAAGATTGCACCTCTTTGGGCTCTGAGAGCAAGAAGTTGCTGGTCCTAGAGATGTGATGCTACATGCACAGTGAGCAGATTTTCCCCAGGGTCAGTCTACAAGTACATAGCCACAGGGTCAATGGCCAGCTCCCTGGCATAATCCATGGCCATTCCCAAGCTGGGACACCCCAAACCCAGCACTCAGTGTGGGGAGCGTCGGAAAGATCTACATCAGCATCTCACCCTCCCCCAGGCTCCGATGTCGGTCAGGCCAATGAGCCCAGCACCACTCAGTTCAGAATGTGGATTTTTAGGCAGGAAACATGGAACCAACTTCTCATCCTAGGGCTGACCACCTCCTCCTCGCCTGATGGGACAGTAGCAGGCTTCTCTCAGAAGGTGCCTCAGGATGTCGTCACAGCCCAGCAGGAGCTGCATAAGCAGGTGGCAGCGAACCTAGAATTGAAGGTAGAGGAGATACCCAATCCAGCGGATTCCCTGTTTGACATGGGGCTGTGGCAGCCAACAGCAAAGGTAGCTCTACCCATCCATGATGTGGTAGTCAGGATCATGGCAGATCCCATCCTTCTTGCCACCTATGTCCAAGAGGGCAGAGTGCAAGTATTGCACCCACTGCAAAAGAGTTCAAGAGCTTGTATGTGTGCCCTTACTCCAGGTCACTACCCGTTGTCTCTGCCAACAAACACAACAAGCAGGGTCAACCCAGCTCAACCCTCAAGAACAAAGATGTGAAGCAATTTGATCTGTATGTCAGGAAAATTTATTCTACAGTCAGCCTACACCTTTGCATAGCAAACCACCAGGCCCTGCTCAGCAGATATTTTAATGTATGGCAATTCACTGACTTGCTCCTGCAGAATGTCAAGCAGGAATTCAGTGCCATGTTAGATGAGGATAGAGCAATTGCAAGAGCCTTTCTCCAGGCTGCCTCAGATATGGCAGATTCTGTAACCAGAGCCGTGGCGTCACTGGTGTCAATAAGGGAGACATTGTGGCTACAGCCACCTGGCCTCTCAGCAGAAGTCCAATAGTCTATCCAGCACTTCCCATTGGACTACTTGGCCCAGTTTGAACAAACATACAGGAGATTACATGGCCTGAAAGACTCTAGGATCACTTGTCACTCCACCGGGCCTGTACACCTAAGCTCAGGAAGAGATTTAAATCTCAGTGCACACAGGTTTGTGAGCCAGACCAGAGTGGGACTGTACCACAGAAAGAGCAGGGTATATAGAAGATGCCACGGTCAGCCATCAGCAGCGGGGACTAATTCAGGCTTGAGCTGCACCCCTCCGAAGAGCAAGCAACAATTCTGAAGGGATGCTCAAGGGAACTTCCCAGCCTGCAATCAAGAGCTATCTCATCCTTTATTTTCCCACTGCTTGTTGCCTTTACCTTCCTGCTTGGACCGCTATAACTACTTACTGCCAGGACTTCAGTTTGGTGGCAGTGGGGTACATGCTTCCAATTTTTTTCTGACCCTCCCCACTCCTCCTTCTCTGTCTCTCTTCAGGGACCTTCTCATGAGTACTTGCTTTCTGAGAAGGTGAAAGCCCTGCTACTGGGGGCCATATTGGAAGTTCCTGCAGAACTAAGAGGGAAAGTATTTTACTTTCAATATTTTCTCATTCCAAAGACCAAAGGGAGCCTACGCTCCATCCTGCAATTGAGATCTCACTTCTATCATTCCCTCCCTGGATCCTGGTATGCCACCCTCTCCTGAAGGATGCTCCTTCCATATTTCCTGGCCACAGACGATCCCAAAGGTTTGTAGTCAGTCAGACACACTACAGGTTTACAGTGCTCTTGTTCAGACTAGCGGCAATGCCAAGAGTGTTTATGAAGTACATGGTGGTAGTTGCAGCCCACCTCCGGTATTAGGGAAATATCTGAATACTGCATCTCCATGAATGGCTCATCAAAGGCCACGCCAAGCAGCAGGCGCAATGCAGTGTCGAGGTGTTGGGAGCCACTTGTCAGTCTCTGGGCTTGTTGATAAATGAACAAAAATCAACATTGGTTCCTGTTCAGAGAATAGATTTCATCGGAGCTGCCCTCAACTCCACCCAGCCCAGAGGATTTTTGCCACCAGCCAGATTCATGGCATTGTCAGATCTGATTGTCCAAGACGCTGCACACCAGCTCACCACTGCTCGGGTCTGCCTCAGACTTCTGGGATACATAGCTGCATGCACCTATTTCCTCTTCAGGTGTGGCTGTCATCAGTCTATTCCCAGCGAGACACAATACGCCTCACAGTCCTGACCCAGATACTTACCTCTTTACAATGCTGGCCCAACCCACACCGGTGATGGAAGTTGTTCCCTGTAGGACTCCAAGACCCACAACATCCCTACTGCCAGATGTCTAACACTGGTTATGGAAATGTGACACCACCTTTTGCAGGAAGGCAGAATGGAGATGCAGTTGGACTTTATCCCTGTAGAATACCATGTACTGGGGCTCCAATGTAAGAGCTTTTCTCTTAGAGCTCACCTAGCTAAGATAAAACAGCTACACAATGTGAACTTCCACAACAGATGTGAGAGGGAGCAAGAGGTGAGAAGCTTGAAATGAGGACCAGTGAGCACGCAGAGGACCAGGTTGAAATCCCATTGGGGAATCAGATCTCAAACTAAAGAAAACTCCATTTTCTCTCCAAAGCTTCACATCCAACAAGGAGAGGCTGGCCCCCCTAGATGAAAGGCTGGCCGTGGCTTTCTACCTTGAGCATACTAAACTCTTCTACACATCAACTCAACGACATTGCATTCTGTCATGGCAATGGCTGACAGAATGAAGGACATCCTAATGTCAGCTGAGAGGACTTTGTCCTGGATCACTGCCTGCATCCGTACCTGTGATGAATTGGCACGGGTGGTGCATTCACCATTAGTAATTGCTCACACATGAGGGTTCAAGTATGGGCTGTGTTTCTGGTCCAGGTCCATGTCCCCGTCCACAACACCTGTAGAACATGATCATTGGTGCACACCTTCACAGTGCATTATGCTATAACTCAGCAGGCCAGAGATGATGCTGGATTTGGCAGAGCTATGTGACCATTGACACTTGTGAGCTCCTTCCTGCCTCTGAGGTACTGCTTGGAAGTTAGCTACAATGGAAAGGACAGGAAGGAGCACTTAAAATAAAAACAGCTATTCACCTTTCGTAGCTATTGGTTTTTCAAGATGTATTGCTCATATCCATTCCCTGACGCACTTTCCTTCTCGTCTGTTGGATTTCTGGCAAGAAGGAACTGGGGAGTGGGCTGGTGGTATCCTTCCAAAGGGGCATATGCATGCCACTCCAGACAGTGCAAGAGCTGGTCCCCTATGGATACCACTGAGGTTAAAAACTTCCAGCACCAGCACATGTGGCAAGCACACACATCTACAATGGAATGGAAATGAGCAACACATCAAAAGGAGAGTAACTGTTTTTCCCTAAACCCCAATTTTGCAATCAGAGCCACGTGGATGCAAGGTTGGAAAAGCCCAATCCTGCAATCTTTAAATCTAGTTTCAGGACTTCATTTAAAAATAGACACCCAACAAGGCCATCACATTAAACTTTAATTTTTGAATAAAAAATTCAGAGTATATATAATTTCCTGTTAATTCAGAAGATGTCATAATCTATACAATGTTCTTCAGCTATCAGAAGGATTTTATTCTCTTCTGTGCTCACTGTCACATTTGAGATGTATTTGTAACAGGAAGCTGAGGGATACATTGGACTGAAATATCCCTTTATTGCTGGATACCTGAGTTCAAATCCTAGTTTAGGTCATGAGTGAAAAGTGTTCAGTTATTTCCTACTCATCATTAATATACATTTCCAAACTTCTTATGCAATAGCAGGCCCAACCAGAGGAAGAAGCGGGCAGTTACCCTGGGGCCAGGCAATACAAAAGGACCCGGAGCACTAGGCCCTTTCAGTTGCTGCCGGAGAGCACTGCACTGAGGGCTGCCTAGCTCCAGCTTTGCCCTTTTTGCCTGAGGCCCCACTGTGCAGTAGGATGACTTGTGATCTCTGCTTGAGAAATCTTAGAACGGAATAACAATTGTTGCAAATCAGGATTTAAGGTTCCTTTTCATAGAGTTCTTGCCTAGTGGTCTGCCTATGCTACAGTCTGACCATTTAGCCCTGCTGTTTCTATAGCAGTAATGTTGCTCGTAATTTCTTGCTTAAAAACTAGTTGCATATTTTCAAAGTGATGCTCCAGTCTTTTGAATTTTCAGGACGGATATTTCTTTTTTGTTGTATATGATTTTAAGTGGTTGAAACTACTGTATTGGAAGCATATTTGTGTTCCCTTGGCAATTTCATTTATCTTTGTATTTTTCCATTGTTTTATGGTAACACAAGATGAACCAGTCAGATCTAAACTCTCTAAACAGGTGGTGCTAGTATATAGTTAGGGGAATTTTATATGGACTTTTAAAATCCATATTGAGCCAAAGTTATTTCACTTGGAATTAAGGAAAAAATACTTAGTGAATTTGCTCATGTTATCTTTTGGTGGTGATTGTCTTCTTGAGGCAGGAGATCAGCCATACTTCCTAATGAAAACACTAAGAAATCAAGGTCTGAGTTAACAGCAGTTGGCAAAATATGGTAGCAGGAAAGCCAGCTGTTGCTTAGATTTGACCCAATAAAATGATGTCATCATAACAAAACTTCTTAAATTTAGGCAATATTACAAGATACATAATATAGCTAAGCTAAAAGTGAGTAAATGCATTTGGGGGGAGGGGAATCCTTAATATGTGATTTTTATAATGTCTTTGTAGAAATCTATAAATTCTTCCTTTCATGGATCTTTGAAACACCAGAACTCTTTTTGTGTATGGAAGAGTGATCTCTTGTGCTGACTGACTTACTACTTTTAAGCTGTCAGAGGACTCTTGTTTAGTGAGCTTTGTAGCTACTTGAGATTATCCTAGAAATAAAAATCAAATTAATCTCTGAAATGTTTCATATTTCTGTATGTGTATGTACTTAGTAACTACCATTTCTGTGACCCTCCCCATAATTCTAGATGAACAGCTATGGAAACGGAGATGAGAATCTGCCCCTGGATGTCTGTTAGGTTTTCAGCATTACTTTTAAATTAAGCTTTATTGTTTCATTTGTGTCTTAACTAAACCACAAAAGCCAGGATTTGTCAATTTTTTTTTTTTAAAGGTGAAATTCCATCTCTAATGTTTGTCAGCCCCATGAGTTGTGTAACAGGACCCACTGCTTGGAAATCCTACCATACACAGGCACAGTAAAAAAGTAAAATAATTTGAGGCATCTCTGTAATGGTTTTTAGTTGTTGACTATTAGGTGCCTTTATCAATGCAACAAAAGACAGAACTATGCAGCACTTTAAAGACTAACAAGATAGTTTATTAGGTGATGAGTTTTCATGGGCCAGACCCACTTCCTCAGATCAGTATGTGGAAGAAAATTGGCACGACCATATATACCAATGTGATACAATAACAAAAAATGAACACATGTGAAATTGATAAATCAAATTTTAGAACAAAGTGGAGGTGAGGGGGGAAGGTTAGTATCTGTGAGGTAATGACATAGGAATGACATCAATGCAAAACACTGTGTTCTTTCAGGTTGAAGAGTATTGTATAAATGTAAACCATTCCTTTACCACTGATTCAGTGGCTTAATTTTCTGTTTTCCCTTCCTGCATTAAAATGCAGAAAGTAAAATTAATCTAATTCAGGGGTGGGCAAAATCAGGCCTGGGGCCAGATCCAGCCCCCCCCCAAGCCTTTCTCTTTGGCCTGCCCCGCTGGCCTGCCACCTCAGCCTGCTCCTGCACCTTACCTCCTTCCCAGACTCCACATCCCCACCCTGCTTCCCGCCGCCTGCACATTGAACCCCTCAATTTTGGCTCCACCAAATCTTCTAGCCCTGGGCCCCCAGAGGAGTTAATCTGGTCCTGAGGGAAAGCCCTGAGTCTCGGTGTAGGGCTGGAGTGCATGGAGGAGCCTGGCACCCCGAGTTACATGAGTGAGGTGAGTGTGTGTGGTTTTTATTTTCCTACTTCTCATTGGGAGCCAGAACGGTGGGTGGGTGGGTGG